TGTGTGATAAAGCTATGCGAAAAAAATCAAAAAACGTAGTACATATATTATTAGGTGACTTTAATATGATTTCAAATGGTTATATCGATCGTACTCCCCCACTACACATCTCTAGACCCAAATTTTTTAATGATCTTGAAGTATTAGGACTTATAGATTCATATAGGAAACTTAATAAAGAAGCATTAGGGAACACTTATCATAAAGAAAGTGTCAGCACGAGAATAGACCAAATCTGGGTATCTGAAATCTATAGTAATAATCTATTGAATTTTTCAATTACCCCCTCAACGTTTATCACACAAAGCGATCATGACATAATTACAATAACCATGGACACTTCTGACCTTATACGAAATAATAGGAAAAATACAATATATAATAAACTACCCACGGGTAACGCCCACACTAAAGTAATGTATGACTGTGATAACATTGATACGGAAACGTGGGAAAAGTTTCGACTTAATATTAGAAATCAACTAAACTCTCTTGATCAAGATGTCCCAGAGGATAGAGAAAATTTCGCGGATTATTCCCAGGAAGACATAGATAAATATTGGGATAAACTTAACAGGATTATCACATATGCAGCGGATAAAGAACTTCCTAGGAAAGTCTTCAGATTTCATAATTCTTTTAAGCGTTATAACAAAAAAAAGCTGAGACCAGAACGCCACACAAATAAATTGCTCAAACTATTGCATAATTATTACCACGGAAATCAACAAATGATCGCATCGGAGGACGCTAAATCCAGATGGACAAGAAAAATTGCCAAATACAATCAGGATTATGTTACATCAACCGATGACAGTAATAAGTGTAACATATCATCACAAGATATTTTTTCGAAAAATTGGTTTGATACTCTTAAATCAAAAGTGAATTACCGACTAATAATAGATTACAAGAAGTTTAAAGCCACAGAAGCGAAATCCATTAAAGACAGGTTAGACAGGCGAGTAGAAATTACGTGAAATGACCAAACAACATGGTTGTCCAGTATATTAGATAGAAACACTCACAATAAAATAGTAATAAACAAGGCTTTAGTAGACGATGAACTAAAAAGCTCGACTAAGAGACTGGCAACAGATCCGGTAGAAGTTAAGAAAGCAGTGGACGATAGCTTCACGAGCATGTTTAGGAAACGAAACACACGACTGAACACAATGTCTTAGCAATGGCAACATATTTATGAACCCACGGGTAAATTCAAAGAAGTAATGGAATCTATAGCAGAAAAGATCACAATAGAAGAATGGAACAACACAGTTATAGAACTGAATAAAAAATCAGCTGCAGGGTTGTCCGGTATAAATTACAAAATCATTAAACAACTACCTGAGGAATTAATTCTCCTATTGATCAAATTTGGAAACCTTACACTACAAACTGGACTAATACCTATGGCATGGAAAACATCGGTTATTCTCCCCATATCCAAACCCACCAATTTTGAATACAACATAATGAACACTCGACCTATTGCTTTGTTAGATTGTTTTCGGAAAACTATAACAAAGATGATCACAAACAGGTTGAGTTCCATCTTGAAACAACACAGTGTACTACAGGGATACAACTGTTGCGGTTTACCCAGAGAATGCACAAATGAACTGATACACTTAGTTAACAATTTTATTGAGGACGCCAGGGAGAACAAAAAGAAATTATGGGTCCTTACACAGGATATGAAAAAAGCATTCGATTCTGTGGGATTAGATGTTCTGAAGCGAGCTTTGCTTCGTATTGACATTCTGGCAACAATGGCTGAATGGATTATAGCCCTTTTTGATCATAGATCCCTTAGAATAACTACAGCTTATAGTTTAAGAGATGGATTCATTAGAAATGACGGGATAGACCAGGGTGACGCGCTTTTACTATTACTTTGGCGAATTTTTTATGACCCGCTTTTGGTAGCAATACAACAAACCAAAAACAGCGGATATAAAATGAAACTTATTTGGCCGAACGATATAAATGATCCTAACACGTGGACACAATACAAACTCCAGGTCCCCATATGTACGTACATGAATGATACGATATTTCTAGAATCGTCAAAGTATAGGATGCAAGAGATAGTGGATATAGCGAATGAGTTTTACTTGATTAATGACATTGATATCAACGCCAAAAAGTCAGAGCTAATAATTATCAATCCGACAGTGGAAAAGCAAGAACAAAACATAGAACTGGGTAGGGACCGTTCAATAATTCAAGCCACGAATGATGAAATAAGATATCTCGGTGTTTGGTTCTCTAACAAACCAAGCAGACGACGATGGATGCAACGTCTGTCCACAATAGTCAATGAATTTTGTAATACAGTCCGAAGGAAATTTGTTCCAGCGGGCCAATGTATATATTTAATTAATAGAGTGTTGATACCCAGATTAATATATATAGCTCAAATCATGATATTGACAGAACATGATTGGAACCAAGTATTCGCCCCGATAATAAAGTTAGTAAAAAACTGGTTGAAACTACCTAAAAATACACCATCATCGTTATTATTTCATGAAGGAGGATTCGGTATGGATCATCCATGGAAACACTATTGCATTAACAATATAACGGATCTAACGATTAGATTAAATAGTGATTCACACGCGGCGACATCAACACAAATCAGACTTAGGGACGCGCAGCTTAAATCACTCATTACTGATCCGATTTTTGACTGTGATCTTAATGTAATGCACTGGATAAAACCACAAACTCGAAAAAACGTTTCATTTAACGCTTTGGTAATAACAAAAACGCTTGATATGTCAATGGCAGTAGATCCGATTGACAAATCAAATTGGAGCATTACAGGAGGGAAAGAGCTAATACTGAAATTTTTTAAACAGTTTCAGCTTACGAAATACATACACTACCCTCCCAAAAGTATCCGACCAAGCTCAACTTGATTTTCTCAAGATTGAATATATAAAGTATTATTTTATTTCAAAAAAAACAATTCCCCTGGTTCTAACGATTAAAATGAATGTATTTTTATTGTGTTACGATACTTGTACCAGATTTGGCAATAAAAAATAATAACGCCTCAATTTTGCCAACGCTGAACTTTGCTTTTTTTTTGTTACTGCGCCATTCAGCTACTTTTAAAATGGAAAAACTAGTGAATTGAGTGAGCGTGGGCAAATTACTGGCCTTTGGAAAGGACATGAAGCTATCAGTATTAAAATTTTTGTATCAAACAATTGTGTCTGTAACAGTACTTTTTGGAAATTTTAGGACACGACTGGATTTATAACAGCTAAAAGAAGAGTGGGAAAGAATTCCATCTGAAACTTACATTAATTTAATTGAGAGCATGCCACGCCGAATTGAAGCATGCATTAAAAACAATGGATGGCCAACTAAATGTTAATTATTATTAATAAAATATGATCTTTATTGGTTAATCGGATACTTTTGGAAGGGTAGTGTATATAGAATCAACCAAAGCGCACATTACCCAATATTTTACATTGATCAATTATTTATTAGGGAAACATATCTTATGACATGGAAACAATACCGTAGATTAGCATTACTTCTGGTACAAGGAAGAACAGCTAGATGGTACTGTGATGTGGCTCATTTATGCACATCCAAAATAGATAATCTAACAGTATCAAATGAACTAGAGATTACCAAAGTTAACCATTGGCCCTTTTTACAAGATATCATACCAGATGCACGCCGAAAATAAGCTATTTTTATACGGGAATCATCGGCAGAATCAGATGTATGGACAATAGGTAAAGTTAATAAAATACGCCACCATAAAAAAGGGATTTTAGTGAACTATCGTCCAGAATACAATGATAATAGAATCATTAAATGGCAGAACATGGGAAGATCTATTACGGCTGAATGTTGCAAGGTGGCGATATTAGATAAAGTCCCTAATAAACAGGGATGGAATTTCCCTTATGAATGGATAAATTCAAACCAATTGGACGCATCAACCCCAACAATAACCTACCATTATCAGCACTAGATCCCATAATCATCCTATCATCGGTTCAAGACATATGGATTCATAGGTGGATAGAAGATAACAAACTGAAATCGCGATTAATGGATATTAGAAATATACTGGCAGAGAAATCATTAGTAGAATACTACACAGATGGATCACTCACACCAAGCACTCCCACAACAATGGGTAAACAAAATCCCAACTTAGTATATACAAATATGGGTGCAACATTTTGTGTCAATAATGAACCACTCCTATCAGCCCAAGCAAATTTATCGCTATGGCCTTCATCCACAAGATCGGAATTGGTGGCAATTTTTATGGCACTACTCACAGCCCAATGAATGCAATAATCAAGATCTACACAGATAGTCAAAATGCCATTTGCATGATCAATAATCATCATAATAAATCGGGCAGGAAATTATTGAAGCAAACAAATTCCTTATTAATCCTACTTAAAATTAACATTCTTTTACAAGAAAAAAAGATGGAACTGATATTAGAGAAAGTTAAGGGACATAGTGGAGATGCTATGAATGAAATGGCAGATGAATTAACCAAGAGCACAGGCAATAGCAACCATTATTTCAACAACAGATTTAATTATAGTAATAGAACAGTTAGATTTTTCCCAATTTTCAAACAGATACCAATTGAATATAATTTAAGGAAGTTTATTAAGACCCTAATGAATACTAGAGTGGCAGCAGAATGGTCAATACTTAAAACAAATGAATATGAAACACCAATTGACTGGAACATAACTTGGAATTTAATTCATAGATAAAAAGGATTCAACTGTATTTCAGTTAAAAAGCATTGGCATCTAATATTTATTACTAAATTATTTGCTAAACTTCTTTCTATAGGTACTATCCTACTCCAAAGAAAGCCAAATATATACAAGGATTTTGTTTGTCCAAGATGTAATGCTAACAAAGAAGAAAGCAGATATCATTTTATTGAATGTGATGCTAATAAGAAACTATGGCCTATAATTAAAAACAAAATGCAAGATGATTTAGTTCCTATAATTCAAAAATTAAATGATTCACCAGAGAACACATCCAAGATTATAAGTGAAAAATTAAGTCAAATACTAGGATCACAACATGATAACAATAAGTTCATTGACTTCTGCTTACTGGCTTTAGAAGTTAAAATTAACACTAATTTTTCCAAAATTTCAAAACAGACATTTGGATTATCAGAATCAAAAAACATTTTACTTCTGGCCTCCCTTTTAGACTCATTTATTATTCATTTTAAAGAATTAATTTGCTACCAAGATGTAATGCTACTGTGGTATGGGAAAAGGCAAGAAATATTGGAAGAAAAGATAAACTGAATAGATTTGAAAATATGGATCGCTATTACAAATCCTCACATCAAAATTCTAAACATCTAAGACAGGATAAACAATACCTAAAAGAGAACAATTTAATAGATTCACAGGAAAATCAGATTGTAGTACTAGATGATATTCCAATTGAACAGAAGTCAGTGCAGTCAGAAACTTCATTAAATGAAAATCCCATTTTATCAAAGTTCCATAGGGTGGGAAAAAAAGCACATGATCAAATGTGCTTGTTAATTAGTAACAATTGGTGGTACAGTTGGGCTTATAAGAAAACAAAAAAAATTATTAACAATGTTGTGATAGACTTAAAAACAATATGACTAAGCCTATTGGGAATTTATTGTGAATTTATTTTGGGATTATTTAATCAATTTTAAAGCATATTCTAAATTGTATTATTTAATTTTTAATATTTAATCTTTTATTCCTATTTTATTTTATTTTATTTTATTTTGTACTTTTAAATTTAGTTTTCTATATTTATATATAATTTACTTTATATTTATTGTTGTTTTACTTTTACTTTTATTTTTATTCTTTATTTTATTTTATTTTATTTTATTTATTTTGATAGCATTTTGATGATCGCATCCTACTGGATGGATATAGCTCATGATAATTTGTTTGTATGGTATATAAACTTAATATCAATAAAGCATATATAGATCATTAAAAAAAA